CATTTTTTTTTTTACTTTTGTTTCTTTTTTGTCAACGTCGAGGCGCCGTTTTCGTACCATCCGAAAGAAAAATTTTCGTCGTCATCGTCATCGCCATTTGTCCTTTTTTCCTTTTTGCAAAAATCTCTTTCCCCCCTCTCCCTTCTCTTTCCTTTTTTTTTTTTTTAAATCCGTTAAATTAATAACCTGGAGAAATAAAAAGGAAAAAAAAAAAAAGGCTGATTGCATTGAACTCTTTACGTGCGTTACTTATTAAAAATGGTCAAAGTTGAGGTCAAAGTTTTGCTAATTTAATACGACCGTAACCGAACCTAAACATTAGTACTAAAATATTATTATTATTATTATTATTATTATTATTATTATTATTATTATTATTATTATTATTATTATTAAATGCACATAAGCTATTTTAAAATTTATGCTTTTATTTTTAAAAAAAAATATATTAGGCTGGTATATAAAATAAAACCGGGCGAAACCGATGGATGAGGGAAGGTGAGTGAGAGAGAGAGAGAGAGAAAAGGTGAGGAAATGAAAAAGAGTGAGAGAGAGAGAGAGAAGGTAAAAGAAAAAGGTAAAAACAAAAAAAAATAAAAAAAAAAACGTGAGATTTAAATTTTTTTTTTTTTTTATTATACAACAAAATGGAAAAAGTTCAAAGGTGAAGGTTGAAATTGAAAAGAGAGGATTTGAGGGGTGGGGGAGGGAGATAGGAAAGATGAAGAATTCAAAGGATGAACAAAAAAAAAAAAAAACTCATTTCGTTTGGGGAAAATATGTCGGCATTAAAAAAAAAAAAAAAAAAAAAAAAAAAACAATAATTCTGGTCGGCTAATGAGTTGTTGAACATTTTTTATGTTAAAATTATAATTTTTTTTAAGATGGCGGCGGATCTCAGCGTGAGCCTTGCTTACAATCAGGGTTTCTCTGTCGGGGGATTCATAACACCTTAGGAGTCTACCTTTTATCGACACATCCTTTTTTTTTTTTTTTCGTTGCTCACTCCAACCCTCCCCCCATTTTTTTGATTTTTAGGTTTATGTATGGGTTATGATGAATGTTTTGGGTTTTGGTAGCAGGTAGTAGTGGTAGTAGTACCTCTTTTAGAAAAAAAACGTTTTTTGTTTTTGTTGTGGGGATGTAACGTTGGTTGGTAAACGACAGGAAATTCCTCCTTTGGCTCAACATCTACAAATGCAATTTTCTCAAATAAATGAGTTCGAAAAACTCTTTCTAACAAAATTAGGTACGATAAAAAAAAAAAAAAGTAACTGTTTAAGGTTGACAATGATGAAAATCCGGTTGTCTGATGTACATAAATCAATCGGAATTTTTTTTTTTTTTCGACGTCCAGTTGATTGATGAACCTTCTTTAAGAGATTTCACATCCTTGTTTTTTTCTTTTTCTTACCATGTTTGACTTTGCAATGATGATCCAAAAAAAAAAAACGGTCAGAGGGTTTGGGATGGTTGTCGGCGGCGGTTGATAGGGAAGATTTAGATGAAATTGGGTGGTGAGGGTTTTATGAAAAGCAGAAGAAAGAAAGAAAAAACGTAACACTATTTAACACGATTGTTTTTTTTTTTTTTGACTCGATTCTTTTAGTCACGGTTCCAATGAACCACCTGCGTTCCCCCTAAACTCGATACCCTAAAGCTTTCTAGAGTCTAATTTAATTTTTTCTAATGACTTATTGTATTGACTTCATCATATTTTAAATGGTTTTTTTTTTTTCGGGGGGGAAGGGGGCATCCTTTTCATTTCAACTTAAAACACTGATTTTTTCTGGACCGTGAAAAAAGAAAAAAAGTGATCTCTGGATAATTAATGATGTTGAATTTAAACTGGAAAAAGTTTAAGGAAAAATTTAAATCGTGTCACGTGATATAATTTTAACAGGCAATTCAGCAACTAACGACTTTGTTTTCTCTCTCTTTCTTTCTCTCTACCATTTTTTTTCCAGAATTTTCTTTTATATAAAAAAAAATTTTATTGTTTTGTTATTGTTCAGGTATGGTTTCAAAATAAAAGAAGTAAAGAAAGACGACTGAAACAATTAACATCCATGGGTAGGGGACCATTTTTTGGTAGTTCGCGTAAAATGAGAGGTTTTCCAATGAATTTAAGTCCCGGAGGTTTGGATGACGGACCTCCCGGATTTCCTTATTTCGCTACTGCCGATGGTAAATTCGAATTCGGGTATGGCGGACCGGGTTTTCATCACGATTTTTTTCCCGGACATCATCCTCATCAAGGACCGGGAGGACCTTTACCTTTTCCCGGACCAGGTAATTATTATTATTATTGTTATTAGTCGCGTGCGAATGAGACGATCGGATAGTTTAATTAATTAATATTGTATAGGAGGACCCATGGATGGAAGCATACCCATGCACGGAGGGGAATTTGGTGGTATAACGCCGGAACCACCACCGGGTTTCATGCCCGGACCACCGCCTGGACCCGAACAACAGCAACAGCAAATAATGTCTCAAAGATCGAGCCCCGAATTTATAAGCACTCAACTATTAGGTAAATTTTAATATAATTTTTTTAAAAAGTTTGTTTTTACGACAGCAACATGTTTTTTTTTTCCATTTTTAACTTTTTAAAGGTGGTAATAATGGATTTTCAGATCCTCCAACGTCGCAAAATGAAGGATTGGTTTGGTAGCCAGGAGTGAATTAGTTGATATATATAAATAAAATAAATTTTTATTCGAACGCCATCTTTTTACGTGGTAACTGAGTGACTGTGTTATTTGTACATAAAATAATAATAATAATATTATGTTAAGAGAAAATAAAAAAAAAAAACAAAAAAAAAGGACTGGATTGCGCCATCGCGACAAAATTCTTCGTTCGTTCGTTTTATTTATTTGTTAAAATTTTTTTTTTTTTTTAATTTTTTATTAATCATCGTGGCATTAAAAAAAAAACGAGGAAAAAATTATTATTATTTTTTTTTTTTCATTAAATTAAATGTAAAAAAAAAAAAAATAAAAACTCAAATAATAATAATTTAAACAAAAAAAAAAGAAAAAAAAAGAACGTCGTCGCCATTTTGAAAACATTTATCGACTTGTTTTTTTTTTTTTTTTTTGTTTATTTCAAGCCTTGAAAAAAATATATTTAAAAAAAAAAAAAAAGATTATTTGTTCAGTAAAAAAAAAAAAGTTTATTTTATTTTTATCCTTTTCCGCCATCTTTAATTCCCTTTTTTTTCCCCCCTTCCGGTTGACTGACCGTACACCGAATAAATATAGGAAAATATTAAAAAATTAAAAGTTGTACGTAATTGCCATCATTATAAAAATAAAAAAAAAATGGATCGCCTCGTACGAATATAAAAACTTTCGAAAAAAAAATAAAAGAAAAATTTGCTCTTTTTTTTTTGGGGGGGGGGGTTGGGGGGAAAAGGGCTCCTCGGTAGTAATTATTTTCCCAATTATCGTGAATTGTATTCGCCGAAAGACAAAAAAACACGGTTTCGGTTATTTTGTCCGATTCAGGGCACTTACCTTTTTATTTATTATTATTATCATTATTATCATTATTATTATTTTGGTTTTTTTTTTAATTGAAACCCGTCCGTTCGAGTCCACCGTTGACTCTTTTTTTTTTTTTTTTCATCGGAAGGAAGTTACACGTCGATGATAATAATTATTGATATTATTATTGTATCACCACGTTTTTCTTACTCTCACTCTCACGAATTTAATGTTTTAATTAAAAACTTTATTATTATTACCATCATCATCATCATCATCATCATTATTATTATTATTATTATTATTTACCGTTTTTTGGAAAAAAAACAAAAACAAAAAAAAAATTTGTTTCGTCGTTCGTACGGAATTGAAATCATTTTTATAAAAAAACTAAAAACGAAAAAATTTAATTAAAAATAATACTGAGGTCAAGGACACGTGGTTTTGTTTACAAACAAACTTTTTTCTCCCCCTCCTCCTCCTTCTCTCCCTCCTGCCAACCGTTTCTCAAGGTCGCGGGTATTTAAATTTTTAAAAGTTTTTTTTTGTAAATTGTTTGACGATATATTTTCCCTTTTTTTTTTTTGTTTTCTTTGGGAAACGGTTGGAAATTTTTTTCTTATTCTCGGGGAAGGGGAAAGGAAAAGGAAGGGAGTAGGGAATGAAGGGGGGAGGGGGTAAAGGGAAGATAACAGAAATTTTTTTTTTTTTGTTTTTTTTTTTCGACCGACGTGAAAAGCGAACGACTTAAATTTTCAAATTTATATACTTGAATTAAATTTACTTTTTTTTGTAAGTTAATTTTATTTAAAACGTGGCATTAGTCATAAAGAACCCTTTCTTAAATGAGAGAGAGCGCAAAAAAAAAAATCTTACACGCGATTAAACAAAAGTTAAAAAGAAGTAAAAAATTTTTTGTAACCTTTTAAATTGTTTAAACCACTTGAAACATATTTTAAATTTTCTTTCTTCCTCTCTCTCCCCCTTCTCTCTCTCTCTCTCTCTCTTTGCTTTCCTTTCTTTATTTAATAAAATTTTTAAACTTTTAAATAATAATCGTGTCAAAATATTTCATAATAAAAAAATTCTACTCCCACGTTTTTTTTTTCCCAAAAAAAAAATAAAAAAAATTTTCGTTTAATTTTTTATTTTTTTCAATCATCCATTAATTATAAAAAAAAATACGAGAGATGGGATAAATTTAAAATTTATTCTAGTACCACGTTTATAAACTTCCTATGATAAATATTATATATATAAAATTACGTATTCAAGTCAAAACTCTTTGGGAAAATAATAAATTTTATCATTATTGTTACGAATTTAAAACAGACCGAAAGATAATAATATTAGAAATTTTTAATTATCCAGAATAATATTTGATATCGAGTTCTGGAGAATTTTTTTCCCCTTACTTTCTAATAAATCGACTCCATTTCGTATTTTTTTAAAAAATTTGTAAATAAGATTTTTTTAAAAAAAAAAAGGGGGGGAGGTTATTGACTTAAAAATCATAAAAGTACCTGAAATACTTTTTAGCAAAAGGTTTTCCTTTTTTCCTTTTTTTTTTATTTAAATATTTTCTATACGTTTAAATCTAATTATCTTTTTTTAAAACAGGGCAATTACGTGGAAGAAGAATTATTATTATTATTATTTTTCTATATTTTCTTAATTTGATACCATCGAAAAAAAACGAAAACTTTTTTTTTAAATAATTGCGCATTCCTACGAGCTTTTTTTTTGTTTTCTCCAGTTCATCATCTTACTGGATAAATAATTTCTTCCATAATAAATATGAAAAAAAATCTATTTGTACGATAACAAACAAATTTCCGGTCCAGGTAGACGCGAGGAAAAAAAAAAAACAAAACAAAACTCACGTTTTCACACCAAATTACAAAATATAATTTTTACGAATTGAAATTTCGACTCGTGTTTTTTTTTTAACGACTTTTTCGTAAATAATAAAAAAGAAGACGCGCCTAAAAAAGAAAAATAATAATAATAATAATAATAAGTACCAAAAATTAAATTTCGGTTTTATATTTTATTATTATTTTTTTTTGGTAAATAAAACGTGTAAAAAGAAGAAGAGGAGTTAAAAAAAAACACATTTAATTAAATTAAGTGGTCGATCGCGTGTAAAAAAATATAATAATGATAATAAAATAGGTAGAAGAAGAAGAACAACAACAACAACCACAAAGATGCCGCAACTCCTACAAAAAGTGTAAAAAAATTCAGGTTCGCGTAAAAATTAATGGGACTCAATAAGGAAAAAAAAATCATCCGCGGTTTTGTTTTTTTTTTTTTTTTTTTATTTCTTATCGATAAAAATTTTGTTGTCGATTGTTTTTGTTGATTGTTGAACAACATTCCGCACGCACGAAACAACAACAACCAAAATATAATGAAAACGTGGTTTCGTTGTAATTTTATTTTTGGGGAGGAGGCCGTTAAAAATTTTATTTGGCGTGATGGGATGTCGACGTCGTCGACGACGACGACGACGACGATGACGTCGACAAAGACGTCGTCGTCGGACGAAACAAAAAAAAAAATCTCATTAAAAAATTTAAAACAACCAATCATCGTTTGGATGGTTTTTTTTTTTTTTTTAACTCTCGAGCTTAATTAAAAATAGTTCTTTCTTTCGTCCAGAGCAACCAACAAACACCAATTCATCTTTGTTATGGGTTTGTTTTTTAACAGCCGCCGGCAAGAATATAAAAATGCTTTTTTTTTTTTTTTTGTTGACGTGGATGCAGATTCTCTTATTATCAACTTTAAAATAAAATAATAATAAAAAAAGTTAAATAATTTTATATGTTATTATTATTATTATTTCCTTATCCGTTCGAACAATCGATAGGATGGTTTGCGATCGTGTATGTGATCAATACGTCAATCATATACCTTATATTTTGATAATATTTAACGATGCAGACGACGTGACAATCACGTGACCTTTTTTATAAGAAAAAAAATTTTCTTTTTAACCTTTTTTTTTTTTTGCACGCATCTCATCGTGAAAATTTATTGTTTGTATAAAATTTGTTGTTTGTTTGTCTTGTGAGCAAGCAACACGATGATGAGGGAAAAGGTCATCCCGTACAAACAACGTGAAACAAACGACAAAGTTCAATAGGTAAACGAGAATGTTGCTAAAAGACAAACAAACGCAAATAATAAAACAACAGCAAACGAATATTTTTCTCGGGGGGAAAAACGTGTAACTAAAATAATTTCGTACGAAAAAAATTACCTGCAAATTACGTGTACCTAGATAATTATTTAGTAATAAATATAATCAAAAGAATGAATGAATGAATGAATGAAAATTTCTTTTTGGGCAAAAATAATAATAATAATAAATGAAATTATGGTTGTTTTCGTTCATTAACACCCGTAAAAATTAAAAGCCTAAAAAAAAAACTTCAGGTTTGAATCAATCGAATTCAAATAATTAACACTTTTTTTTTCTGATTCCACGTCTTTTTGTAATTTTCAATCATTTTGTACCGTTTTTATTATTATTTTTTTATTGAAATTTTTTTAGATTTTCTTTAATAACGAATAAAAAGCGAAACGGACGGACGGGGGGGACGGGTAAGGAGAATTGTTTTTTTTTTTTTTCATTTTTCTGATTACACGACGTTATTCGGCTCACATTTTTTTTTAATTTGTTCGAAAGATTATTGTATAAATAATTATTTTAATTTTATATTTCTTTCTCCACTCCTTTTTTTGGGGGTTTTTTTTTTAGAAGATCACGTCTGTCGGGGCAAACAAACGTTAAAAAAATATTTTTGCAATTAGTTAAGCTTCTGCCACGTTTCATAAGGTTACATAATTTAATCATCCTCATTTATTTCTACAATTTAATCATTTTTTTTTTTTTACCACCCAGTGATAAAATACGCTACGAGCAAATAAATTATTTATTTTTTTCAACTCTCTCTCTCTCTCTCTCTCTCTCTCTCATTTGCTTCTGCCACGTTTCAAAACAATAAAATTATTATAAGCTCGAAATTCTCTTTTTTTTTCCATCTTCATTTTCTTCTTCGAGTTCTTCCTTATAAAATTATAAATTCAAATCCGACAAATAAATTTTATTTGTTTTAAAATGACAGAGAGAGAGAGAGAGAGAGAGAGAGAGAGAGATCAAAAGTTCGTGGCA